AGTTAGGTAAGTCATGCATTCTTAGTTTTCAATGGTTGCTGCTGCATCAAACTTAATTTGAAATGTAGGGTGCAGGGCTGTATCACAAGGAGGTTTGAATTCAGTAGGTCAGGGGTGGGACACAGGCTTCTGGCTTTCTAATAAGTCTCCCTCATTATTCCAGAAAGTGGCCAACCAGTTTGAGACCCTATTGGTGCCTCAGGACCATGGACAGCGCAGGTGCCATCATCACTGGGAATTCCATTGGTTCCTTGGCCTTGTGTATCCTGCATCAGCAGATGAGTCAGGCTCCCTCTGTCTTACCACCGGACACTATCTCACCCAGAGAGTCAATCTCTGGGGACTTGAGAGCATGCGCCTCCCCAAGAAGCTCCCAGTAAGCTCCCTTTTCTTCATGCCAGCCTCCTGTGAGGACAGCAGAATGGCAACGTGGTGAGGCTTGGCCCCTTGGTCTAGGGTTGGGCCTGTCTCTTGGTTCTGAACTTTCTCTCTTAGTTCTCTTCTCTCTTAGTTCTCTCCTCTCTTCATGGTCATCAGCTCTGCCTATTTCCTAGGGGCTCCATATATTGCTGGTGCCTTATATTGGATCAGGTGGGCTTAAGGACTGGAGTCAGACAGTGATTGGGGCTGCTGTTTCCTACAGGGGCATTTCCTATCTCTGTGCTGACCTGGTGGTGAGGGGCTTGCTGTGGAGTGTGGTTTCTGTGAACCACATAGGATCTTCCTCTGCCTCTTCTACCTACCACTGTGCCCTAGGCCCTGATGGATGTCTTTGTGATCAAGCTGCCATCCCTATGGCACCTCAGTCCCAGCAAGATCACTTGCTCATCTTGTCCACAGAGAGGCTCAACCAATGGCTTCAAACATGAGAGGTATGAGGGGCTTGAGATGTGGATAGAGGGGATGCATGATACTACAGATTTGGAGATACTCCTTCCTTGCCTTGCACTGACTTCAGAGCTCTGGAATTAGCCAAGTCTACATTCAATATTACCTCTGTGACAGTCCTAATTGTCGCAGCTTCTTTACATGTATCAGTCAGGATAAACAAGGCAGGTCACTGTAACAAACAGTCCTAAAATCTCAGTAGCTTATACAACAGAGGATTATGTAACATGCATGTTGTGTGTCTATGATGGGTTACCTGGGTACTCTGCTTTCTCCACTTTAAAGGGCACCAGAGATGGAGCCACCACCATCTTGAATATTCCCAAGCACTGTGATAGAGGAAAAGGTAACTTGGAGGGACTTACATAAACAATTACATGTTCCACCTGTCATTTCCACTCACAATTCATTGCCCCAAACACAATGGGCCAAGAAATTCAGCCCCCACATGATCCTCGAAGGAAAAGAGCTGAAATGTTACTTAATGATAAGCACACATGCCTCTGTTTGCTCCACCACATGGGACACTAATGCTTACTTTTTATAGTTATTGTAACAGGAAATCAAATGATGCTTTAATGTGTCTTGCATGTGGTACTTTTATCTATATGTATAAAACTCTAATATCCAAATAGACTGAATGACAAAAATACCGAAGAACTGGTCACGATGATGTGCACTGACCACCATGGGTTTCACGTGGAACATTGATGTTTCCTTGGTGGGCATCGGCTGCAGGTGGCAGAGCACAGAACATGGTGGGCATCGCCATGGTGGGAAGGTGGAGCAGGTGAGCAGGGGTGCCAGACCAAGGCAGGGCACCAGTCACTGTTATCAGGGCGAGCCTCTAATGGTTACTGAAATGTTTTTTGATCCCAAGCACCACAGTCCTGCTGCTGGCACTGCCCCCACTCGCACCCATTTCTGGTGTCAGAGCCGCTGCTCGGACCCATTGCTGTTGCCCAGCCTTGGCCCTGGTTCCTCGGTGCTGTCAGCAGTTACAAGCAGTGGCTGCCAGCTCTGGTCACCCTCAGGACTTCTCCACCTCCCCCTGCTCCTGAAGAGCGATTGGGGCAGCAGCCTCCACTCACAGCCACTGCCAGCTCCAGGCACCCATCCAGATCACTCAGCACCACTGGCCAGTGCAAGTGATGGCTGCTGCCCTGAGTGCCCCTCAGGGCTTCTCCACTTCTCCCTGCTCCTGAGCAGTGATGGAGACAGTAGCCACTGCTCGCACCTTGGTGCTGGCCCCAATTGCTCTTTACTGTCAGCAGGTGTGAATGGGGCCAGCCTTGTCAGCTCCTGGGAACAGTAGCTGGCAGCTGCAGAAGTAGAGCTGCAGGCATACAGACATCCAGGGTCATGGTAGGAGTGCAGAGGATGGGCTGAGAGCAGTCTCTGTGCCCACTGCAGTCTCACTGCTCACAGTTCCCTTGAAGGTGCACAAATTTATGCACTGGGACCCTCGTTTTATAATATTAAAACTCTTTCCTTTCACATGGGCTTTGTTCTCTTTGAGGGTACATAGGCCATTCCCGAGAATGGTCTTGTTTTCTACTAAAACAAGGCCTGCTTGTTCAGAATATAATCCTATTTTCCTTGTTAGTCTTCTGTTTGAATAATGGTCCAGTCTTCAGCCAAAACATTATCAAATGTGGGATCTGGATTGAAATTTTTGAAGTCTTCTAAGCCCTGTTGACCAGAAACTTTAAAACTTGAGGCGATTATCAGTCCCCCATCAGAGACCCACTGAAGCAGAGTCTGCATTTAACAAGATCCCAAGACCATGTGTATGCTTTTAAGGCTGAGAAGCACTGATATTTCTGGAGAGTCCCACATGTTAATGGACATCATTAAACTAGCAAAACCTAGTGTTTCCTGGACTACTTCTCAGAGGTCCTCAGTGAGTATGTTTGTGTGGGGCCCAGGCTGCCAAATAGTGGAGAAATTCATGGGCTGGTGGTCCAGTGACATCTAAAGAATGATGTTCAAACCTACTACCCCGAGCATGCTATCTGCTTAAATACCTCAAGTGACAGGGAGCTCACCACCATGCAGATAGCTAAATACGTTATGAGGGAGCGGTCACTGATGTAATTGGAGTAAGCCTGACCCTCACCAACCGGAGGGTACAAAGAGGGTGACTTTAGAGTTCCATGCCTCCATGTATACCTGGAGGATGTCAGCCATGCCTCCTCTTAAGTCTCCATGGACTTTCCTGGATGTGCCCTGTATGACCTGTAGATAAATAAATATGCAGGTATTGCTCTATTCTCTGCTTTTCAAGAACACTTCCTTCAGCAGTTCTTGTTTATTCCAACAATGCTTCATTCCTCTTCCTCTTCCAGCAAATAGCCCAGAAGATTCCCGTGGGAGGAGTATCTCTGAGGCATCACCTGGACTTTGCAATCAGCCGAACCCTGAATCCCTGCTTGGCTCAGTTTGGTTGTAGCTGGGTCTCTTCAGAAGTCTGAACTCTCTTGGAAAATGTCGGAAACTGACTTCAAACTGATTCAAGTAAAAATATTTCTGGTGTTTTCTTATTGGAATACACATTTTCCAGAAGGAAAGTGTTTATGTTTAAAAAAAAGTTTCATAGTCAAATAGTTTGGGAATCAAAATTAAACAGCTTTCTGTAACCTGCTGTTTTTCTTAAAACCTTGACTATGTAATATGCTTGTCACTCTTAGGAAATTGAGGGCATGCTTGAGGCAGATAAATCATTTCCTCAAATGTATTTGCCCACAGAAACCATTGTTGGAAAAGTACCTGCCATGACTTGTGGAAGGTAGAATTCACTTTGAGATACACTTATTTAACTGCTGGGAAGAGTATGCATTTGAAGGAGATGGAAGAACCTAGTGATTCGGGCAGCTGGGCGCCTTTACACCCAGGCATTGGGGAGACCACGCTGGTGAGCATCTGGGTCAGGCTGGCTCTTTTACATTGCGGGACGGCTCTGATTCTCTGTATTAATCTGGGATTATCAGGTGATTTGGTGAGAGAAACAAACTGGTTCCCAAATCTGGGTAAGCAGAGAGGTTTCATTTTTTATTTTGATATTTTGGCCAAAATAAAATAGTTGTGCACTGACCACATGGGTTTCACGTGGAACATTGATGTTTCTATGGTGGTTATCGGTAGCAGGTGGCAGAGCACAGAACATGGTGGGCATTGCCATGGTGGGATGGTGGGGCAGGTGAGCAGGGATGCCAGACCAAGGCGGGGCACCAGTCACTGTTATCAGGGCGAGCCTCTGAAGGTTAATGAAAAATTTTTGATCCCAAGCACCACAGTCCTGCTGCTGGCACTGCCCCCACTCACACCCATTTCCGGTACCAGAGCCGCTGCTCGGATCTATTGCTGGTGTGCAGCCTTGGCTCTGATCCCTTGGTGCTGTCAGCAGTTGCAAGCAGCAGCTGCCAGCTCTGCTCATCCCTCAGGACTTCTCTACCTCCCTCTGCTCCTGATGGGCGATTGGGCCAGCAGCCTCCACTCACAGCCACTGCCAGCTCCAGGCACCCATCCAGATCACTCAGCACCACTGGCCAGTGCAAGTGATGGCTGCTGCCCTGAGAGCCCCTCAGGGCTTCTCCACTTCTCCCTGCTCCTGAACAGTGATGTGGACAGCAGCCACTGGTCACACCTTGGTGGTGCCCCTAATGCTCTGTGCTTTCAGTATTTGTGAATGGGGCCGGCCTTGTCAGCTCCTGGGAACAGTAGCTGGCAGCTGCAGAAGTAGAGCTGCAGGCATACAGAAATCCAGGGGTCATGGTAGGAGTGCAGAGGATGGGCTGAGAGCAGTCTCTGTGCCCACTGCAGTCTCACTGCTCACAGTTCCTTTCAAGGTGCACAAATTTGTGCACTGGGCCCCTCGTTTTGTAATATTAAATCTCTTTCCTTGCACATGGGCTTTGTTCTCTTTCAGGGTACATAGGCCACTCACAAGAATGGTCTTGTTTTCTACTAACCTGGCCTGCCTGTCAGAATATGATTCTATTTTCCTTCTTAGTCTTCTGTTCGAATGGATGGTCCAGTCTTCAGCCAAAGCATCATCAAACGTGGGGGCTGGATTGAAATTTTTGAAGTCTTCTAAGCCCTGTTGACCAGAAACATTAGAACCTGAGGCAATTATCAGTCCCCCATCAGAGACCCACTGAAGCAGAGTCTGCATTTAACAAGATCCCAAGACCATGTGTATGCTTTTAAGGCTGAGAAGCACTGATATTTCTGGAGAGTCCCACATGTTAATGGACATCATTAAACTAGCAAAACCTAGTGTTTCCTGGACTACTTCCCAGAGGTCCTCAGTGAGTATGTTTGTGTGGGGCCCAGGCTGCCAAATAGTGGAGAAATTCATGGGCTGGTGGTCCATTGACATCTAAAGAATGATGTTCAAACCTACTACCCCGAGCATGCTATCTGCTTACATACCTCAAGTGACAGGGAGCTCACCACCATGCAGATAGCTAAATACGTTATGAGGGAGCGGTCACTGATGTAATTGGAGTAAGCCTGACCCTCACCAACCAGAAGGTACAAAGAGGGTGACTTTAGAGTTCCATGCCTCCATGTATACCTGGAGAATGTCAGCCATGCCTCCTCTTAAGTCTCTATGGATTTTCCTGGATGTGCCTTGTATGACCTGCAGATAAATAAATATGCAGGTATTGCTCTATTCTCTGCTTTTCAAGAACACTTCCTTCAGCAGTTGTTTATTCCCACAATGCTTTTTTCCTCTTCCTCTTTCAGCAAATTGCCCAGAAGATTCCCGTGGGAGGAGTATCTCTGAGGCATCACCTGGATTTTGCAATCAGCGGGACCCTGAATCCCTGCTTGGCTCAGTTTGGTTGTAGCTGGGTCTCTTCAGAAGTCCGAACTCTTTTGGAAAATGTCAGAAACTGACTTCAAACTGGTTCAAGTAAAAAATATTTCTGGGGTTTTCTTATTGGAATACACATTCCCCGGAAGGAAAATGTTTATGCTTTTAAAAAGTCTCATAGCATAATAGTTTGGGAAATACAATTAAACAGCTTTCTGTAACCTGCAGTTTTTCTTAAAACCTTGACTATGTAATATGCTTGTCACTCTCAGGAAATTGAGGGTATGTTTGAGGCAGATAAATCATCCCTCAAATTATTTGCCCACAGAAACCATTGTTGGAAAAGTACCTGCCATGACTTGGGGAAGGCGGAATTCACTTTGAGAAACACTTATTTAACTGCTGGGAAGAGCACACATTTGATGCAGATAGATCAACCTAGTGATTCGCGCAGCTGGGCACCTTTACATCCAGGCCCTGGGAGGCCAAGCTGGTGAGCCTCTGGGTCAAGCAGGCTCCTTCCCATTGGGGGATGGCTCTGATTCTGAGTATTGATCTGGAACCGTTTTTCAAATGTAGACAAGCACAGAGGTTTCATTTTTTGGCCAAAAAATAGTTGTTTCTCTAATTTAGATGGGGGAATTACTACTTAATGTAACATTTCAAAAAATGAAGAATACAAGTGTATAGAATCAAAAATATTTTTCATTTTTATCTTTATCTTTTGGCTAAATAAATGGATTTTATTATAGCAAAGAGGAAGGAGGTTTAAAATCAAACTTAGCAGAATTCCAAATACATTAAAGATAACTGTTGATTTAAGGCCAATGCACAGAGTGAGGGGGCCAGTGGATGGAAAGTACCAAATGAAACTCTTTTCTATCTGATTTATTCTTTCCATTAATCCCAACATTTTGGGTGTCTTTGTATCTGCCCTCCCAGGTCCATGAGCAGATTCATTCCTGCTACACACAGACTGGGGCCTAATGCAGTTCCATGTAGCTGCCCTAGCTCACTGCTCCTCAGGGGCCAGCCTGGATGGTCACCTGCACTGCCTGATGCACTGGGAGTCCACCATCAGCCACCAGGGGATGAGAAGATTATCTCAGGGATTGGGATTCCCTCCATCAGGCTGTGGTAGGAATGGTGAGGACTAGACATCAGGGGCATTGTATATTGTCTCCCCTATAGATTTTGGGTGGAAAATGACTTTGGAATGTGAAAGATCTGCAATTGAACTCCAGCACCACCATTTCTTAGCTCTGTGGCTACAGGCAAGCACTCATACTTATGGGCCTCAGTGTCCTCATCTATCAAAAGGGAATAATTGTATAGAGGAGAGATTTGTGTGCAGCTTAAACAAGAGAGTATGTATAAAGCAGCTAGCACAGTGTTAGACTTTCATTTACTCAACAAATGCTGATGAAGTGCCTGTCACGTGGCAGGTGCTGTCAGGAGTGTCTTGGAAGGCCAGGAATACTTCAGTGACCCACTCAGACATCTCTGTTCTCACAGAGCATTCAATTTAGGGGCCCAAAGCAGGAGTTAGTTCTCTTCACTAGTGATGTGTCAGACATCAATTGCCACACCAATGCTGCTTAACAAACCACTCCCAAAGGTCAATGCCTTCCAACGTCATACTTTTCCTTCTACTCCTGAGTGTCTGGGTCAGAGGGCCATGCTGCTCTGAAGGTCAGCTAAAACATCTGCGGACCTTCGTGGGGCTCTCTCACATGCCTGTGGTGACTTGGCTCTGCTCCAAGTCTCATCCTCCAGCAGGCTAACCTGCCTGTGTTATCATAGTGCACTCAGATCATAAGAGAGACATACACAGGCTTTTTTAAAGTCTGGGTCTTGAAGTCATGGCTGATATCCCATTGGCCAAGGCAGGTCACATGACCAAGCTTAGCATCAGAGTAAGCAGGAACTGGAAGTTACAGGGCAAAAGGCACATATGCAGAGAAGAGAATAAACAATCAGGCCATTCATACAATCAGTTACCCTGAGTCTAACTAAGATGTCAGCCTGAGTCTCAAGTACAGAGCAGTTAAAGATGGGGGTTCTGGCTATCGGGATGGGAGTTGGAGGCCCAGAAGCTGGGATGGCCTCTGAAGAGACTCCAGGAGGCAGAAAGTGAGACCCCTGCCCCTTTCATTTTACAGAGAGGAACCAGAGACCTTGGGAAGGACTCGCTGATTTCAGGAACAGAGATAAACCTCGGCTTCCTGACTCCCAGCCCAGCAGCCCACCTGAGCTCAGTGCAGGGCCTGAGCCTGAATGATGCAGCCTAACAGGCCCCCTCCTGCCTCTGTGTCTCTCAGTCCTCCCAGAGCTGCCCTCTGGCCTCCAGGACATCCTCCTGCAGAGCCACTGCAGCAGCAGCAGCACACAGGTGAGCTGCCCCAGGCCCTTGCCCCTCCCTGCCACCTGGAGTAACAGTGAACTTGGATATCCCTCAGCTACAGGTCACTTACGGTTCAGCTTTTATAACAGCATAAAAATTGAGATTTTAGTTACACAAGTATCATATGAATAAACTTTCCCTGTAAGAAAATATTAAAATTTTACAGAGAATATTAAGCTCTGCTTTGACTGTCCTTAATCCCCACTTGCCTCCCTAGATGTAGCCCTGCCATCATCAGTTTGCCGTGTATCCGTCCAGACCCTTCTTTAAGTCTTACATGCACAGTTGTATGTATGTAGATAGAATGCAGAAAATACATTGCTAGTTTAGTCAATCTTATTCCTACATAAATATGTATTGTTCAACCACTTTCTATTTCATTCAGTTAAAAGAGAGGCATCATTTTTAGTATTTTTAAAAAGCAAAGTGCAAAACGTGTGCATATCATGTCACTTTTTGTGTAAAAAGGGGAAATATTTATATGTACATGTATTTGCCTCTGTGTTAAGAACAATGAAGGATAAACCAGAAGCTAATTAAATGGTTACTAAAGAGGTGCAGGCAGGGAAAGAAGCTTCACTTTGTTTCCCTGAATGTTCTTTGTTTGCTAGTTTTGACTTTGGAGTTAGGTAATTTTTTTACATACTATAAAATAATTTAATAAAAAAGAAATTAAAGGCTGGCCAGCTTGGCTCAGTAATTCAGCATTGACCTATGAATCAAAAACTCAGCATTCAGTTCCAGGTTTGGGCACATGTCTGCCTTGCAGGTTTGATACCCAGTATGGAACATGCAGGAGGAGGCTGAACAAGGGTTCTCTCTCATCAGTGATGTTTCTATTTACTCTCCCTCTCCCTTCCTCTCTAAAATCAATAAAAATATATTTTAAAAGACATTAAAAATCGGAAACATTTGACAGTAACAATAAGTGAAGTTGGTGACATAATAATACAAAGTAAAAAATATTTCACTGACATAGACTTATACTGTCTGTCCTTGATGGGTAATGGCCTAAGCATACGAAGAACAATAAATAAATCTTTTGATATATAATCTGGAGACTTTTCCTTAGTATTTGTTGTGTAGTTAATCCTTGAACAACATGGGTTTGAACTACACAGGTCCACTTACACGTGAATTTTTTTCAATAAATATGTACAATGCTATATAAATGTGTGTGTGTGTGTGTGTTTTCTGGTTTTCTCACTCTTTCCTCTAGTTTACTTTATTGTAAGAAAGTGGTGTATAATGTACAAATGATCTAATCATCTCTTTATGTTACTAGTAAGGCTTCCAGTCAAAAGTAGGCTATTCATAGCTAAGTTTTGGGGAGAACCAAAGTTATACTTGGATTCTTCACTGCTCCCCATCATTGTTCAAGCATCAGCTGTACATCTAACTAGTTTTGAAAATAAGTCCATAATAGTCAGCCACTTGGAAATAAAATACTTTGCTTGGCCTGTTCCCTATGTTGTTAACTAATATTTAATTTTTTAAAAAAGTATGTGCACATAATTTTAGATGATGAAAGGTATTGTTTTCCCACTTAAATTTCTTAGTTCTCCCTCCACAGAGTCAACTGCATTCCTTCCTTATTTATATATTTCTGGATTGCCCTATGCATTTTTATGCGCATCGGTCAATAACAAATGGGATGTGTTTCCAGTCGCAGTTATTACTCTTATAAGTCTATGCACCTCAGAGGATTGTTTTAGCAAAAAATTTTTTTTAAAAAAATATTCATTATAGAAAGTGAAAGAGGGTTTCTAAGAAAACGACAACAAAAACCAATCACACATTGACTGGTCCAGGTAGAGGGTATTCTTTCAGTGAGGCAGGAGAGGGCCAGGAGGAGGAGGGAGAATCTGTAAAGTCTGAATCCGCTGTAAGGACTTGGGGTGTAATTGTTCTTTTCTCCCACCCCCTGCAGCAGGCAGTGGAGCTATTGGAGGTGGACACAGTGAACCTGCATGTGCAGAGGGGCAGCCACAAGTGCTGGTACCTCTTGCCCACCAGCATGGAGGCGCTGAGCAGCATCATGTACAGGTGGCTTTCATAGGGGGAGGGATGGGTCTGAAAGGCATCAAAGGTAGGGTGTAGGCTCAGGGAGCCCAACTTGAACTGCAGCCTCTGCAGCTGGCACAATGCCCACCTGAGAACGTATTCCAGGTCACATTGATCATAAAATAACCAGCATAGTAATGTTCATAATAGAGGACGCTTGCTAAGCACTTACAGTATTCCAGTCACCTTCCTGGGTCCTTCACTAAATAACACCATCTCACTTGACCCTCACAACAGGCCAGGAGGTTGTAATATCTCTTTTCTGGTGGAAATGGAAAGGCAGAGGGGAACCTCACTGCTGAAAGTCCCCAGCTGAGCATGGCTGGGTGGGAACTCATCCCCACAACTCTCAGACTCTAGAATCTGTGCTTTATTTCATGAATACAAGATATGGGGCTTCTTATTACTTTTCATTAAAATGTATTATTATTTCTTAAACCAGGAAAGTAAACCAGGCTTATTAAAAACCTAAATCCAACAGAGAAATCAGAAGCTCATAGGCATGAGGAGAAGAGCATGGTATGTTTTTCTGGATGTTGGTCATGCGGGGCCACCTGGTCACAGGCAGGAAGCTGGTGAGGACGGTGTTGAGGATGGTGGTCACAGGCCTCAGCCCAGGTGACACTGTCCCCTGCGGTACACAGAGGCGGCTCCACGGGCTTTCTGGGAAAATGGGGGTTGGGGCACCTGGGCTCATAGGGAAAAGCAGCAGGCCCACAATGGCGGTGGTGGCTGGAGACAGGAAGGAGGAAAGTCAGTGTTTTGGTCAGGGGGCTCTGGGCTAACCTTCCATCCCAGGACTCACTGATTCCTCCAACTCCAGTCCACTCACACATCCATACTTCCATTAATTCGCTTACTTATCGGTTCATCTATCATTTAAATAATTTTTATTAAAGTATAATTGACATTCAATATTATGTTCAGTTGTACAGCATAGTGGTCTGACATTTATAAACCTTACAATGGGATCATCACAGTAAGTCTAGGAACCATCTATCACTATGCAAAGTTAACAGCATACCCTGCTGGAGGGGCCTGGAAGCCTGCTGCTGCCCTGAGACCCCACATGGTGACTCTGGACATTAAGGATTACTCTCTTTCTTCCAGCTGTCAAGAGATTCTCAAGGCTGTAAGAGTTGCTGTGCTCCCCTGCCAGGACCTCCAAACAAGCTCTCTGAAGCCCATTTGCTCTGCCCATTCCCAGCACAAAATGCTATTTCTTTGTACTTTTAGGTTGAACTTGCCTTTTGTTTTACTTGGATTTCTATAGGCTGAACACACTGGAATCCACTCAGTGTGGGACTAGGGGTTTTGCTAACGTTGTCTTAAGTCGTTGTCTACTTTTGCTGTGGAAAAAGTTTTGGATGACTAGAAGAAATGAAAATGGGAGTATCCACATATGATGCACTTATACTTGAAAAGACACTGGAAAATGTGCTACAGGTTCAAAAGTACCTAGCAAGTCAGTCTGGGCATTTCAAACTGGGAAAGGAAAGAAAGAAGCTCCTCATGATGGTACTACTAGAGTGGTCTTCTAAGAATCTGGTTTTGATAGCATATGTTATGTTGTAAGGAAGAGTACATGGAACTTAAAATCAATGACCACCTCGCTTGTGTGTACATCATCCCTGGAATTCCAAAAGATGCAAATTTTGTCCAGAAACCCGGAAGAGAGATTCAGAACACTGTGTGGATCTCCATAGAGACATTGTCAAGTCATAGAAATGAAACTATCCCAAAACCCAAACAAACATGTTGAAATGTGAGAAAAACAAACTTGTTATTGCTGTTCCCTTTGTCAGACCTTAAAGGAGCTGGCTTTCTGGAAGATTTGGTGATTCCTCAAACTGACAGTGGATTTGCTCCAGCTCGTAGAAAACCAGCGAAGCCCACAGTGGAAAAATGGGAGGCCAAATTTCAGCACAGTGGGCAGGGATTTCCAGAAGGTTCTGGGGACCAGTGGTAAAGCACAGGCAGCC